CCTGGGTTTTTCTGGGTCCTCCTGCATTTGGAGGAGCAGGACTTCGGACATTCCTTGTAAAAACCAAGGCTGCATCAGAGAAAATACTAGCCTCCATCCATTTCTACTTCCAGCCACAACAACCTACTAGACTTTACATTTTTGGTTAGCTGCTCAGCTCAGGAAGGGTAACCCTCTCATCAGCTGTAGTATCTAGAGACCCCAGCTGAGATCAGGGCCCCTTTGTGCTACAGGCACAGAGTAAGAGACGGTCCCTGTCCCGAGGGCTTCACAACCTAAACAGATAAGACTGGAAAAAGGTGGGAGAAAGAAAGCATTATGATCCCCATTTTACAGATGGGGAACTGAGGCACAAAGATTCAATGAACTGGCCAAGATCACAGCAGGGTTTTGGAGAACTAGAGGGCATTCAGAGAGGGGTGACAAGAAGAATCAAGAGCTTGGGGAAACCCTCTTGTGAGGAGAGATCGAAAACAGTGGGATTTGTTACTTTGAGACAAATAAGATGGAGACATGAGAAGAGCCTATACAATAATAGTCCAGCGAAGGGAGATCCGGAGCTTCTGTTCTCCCTGTCTCGCAAGAACAAGGGAACAGTCAAATACAATACAATAAAAAGTGGTCACATTCAAAACCGATCAAACACAATGTGTAATTAGACTGCGGAACTCATTGCCACAAGGTGTAACTAAGGTCAGGAACTTAACCAGGTTCACAAAGGGACGGGACATTTATATGGATAACAACTCTGGATATGCTTGTTATAATTAACACTAACCATTTTGGAAGGGATATTAGACCTCATGCTTCCGGATTTAAGCCAATCTCTAGCTATTAGAGATCAGGGCGAGGCCTTATGTGGGGAGCAGATTATCCCACATCTGCCACTGTGGGTTTCTTACACCTTCCTCTGAGGCATCCGGTGCTGGCCCCTATCAGAGCCAGGATAGTGGACTAGACGGACTTGGGCTCTGATCAAGTCAGGACATTCATCTGGCAAAGCCAGGATTTGGACCCAGACCTTCTGTGTCCCAGGCTGGTGCCTTAACCACAGATCTGTCCTTCCTACTCAGAGCCTAATGAATATCCTCCAGAGACACCCACTGTACAGCACCTAACGTAAACCCAACCAGCAATTAGGGAACGTCTCCAATATTAGAAACAAAACACAGGCAGACAAACAAGCCACAGACAACAGCAAAGGGACAGGCCTAGACTATCCCCCGATCCAAATTCCCCTAGACTTCAGAGTGCCCCAGATCCACACCCACATTTTGTGGCTTGAGCAACTCTCAACTTAACACCATTAAGCAGGGAAAAAACTCCCCCTCCGAACACCCAGCCTGGTGATCTGTATTGTATGGTTCATAATAAAGAAAAAAATTACAAGGAACCAGTTTTTCATCCTAACCCATTTTGGAGCCTTTATAGGGCTGGCTCAGTTGTTTATTATAGACAATAATATGCTGGAGCTAGACCCAAACAGCAGCTAAGAACAATCCATTCCCTTCCTCAGCCCTCCCCTACGTAAACTAACCCCTAGGCCCACCTCATCACAGATGGGGTAGCACTCACACATAACAGCTCCCGCGGCAGAGCTGGGCGCTCCCTTCCCACCTTACACGGAGTCACAAGAGATTTGCTTCCTCAGTGCAGCATCTGTCGCCTAGAGGCACTGGGCCAGACTCGCCACCCGGTGTGTGAAGGACAACCTCAGCGGGCAGAACCCAGACTGCTGGGCGGTTGGAGATCCAGAGCCAGGGATATAGGACCCCCAGGGACTGTGGTACCCAGGGAAGATGGCTGGAAGTCAGTGGTATCTCTCCTGTGGTAAAGCCTTGCTCAGGTACAGCTGCCTCTGTACAGCTCAGGTACAAGCTGTACCCACAGGGACAAAGGATGGCAAGACGATTCCCCCGGAGACTCATGCAAGTCTTGAGCTTGCTGCCCAGTTCCGCTGCGATCCTTGCCCCAGCACCCAGGGTGAGTAACCGGGTGCAATGCTCGAATCGCCACAGTGGCTGTAGAGCAAGAGCTTAGCCCCAGCCTGGCCTTCCTCCAATGTGACCCCCCCCCCCGGCTTCCGGTTCCAGGGTATGCAGAGCCCAAGGAAGGGATGCCAGTGGCCAGCCTCCACTTCCCCGGCCCATGGTCAGTGGAACCTCATTAGCTCCATGGTGCATGCGAGGGTGGAGAGGGTTTTACCACCTCAAAGGCACTCAGGACACATTGTGAATGAAGGTTTGTGCTTGATCCCTCCGTATCCTGGGATGTCCCCTCCGTACTCCTGACCAGGATTTTGAGACAACCAAAGCCTCAGACAATCCACCCCAGATGTTACCCAGAGGCCAGGGTTTCAGGAGTTTAGCCAGGGCAACTTATCCAGTTGAAGATTCCTTAGATCAGGGGCAGTCAATAGACGGACCGCCGGCCAAATCAGAACCACCAGATGCTTCTGAACGGACCCCAAAATCTTTTTTATTTCCTTATTATTATCAGCATTATTGGTATTATTTTTTAATTATTTTCTCTGGAGTCTGGACCTTGACATACCTTGACCAAGGAATTTGGACCTTGACAAAAAATAATTGCCTACCCCTGCCTTAGATGTATTTCTCAAGAGCCTGCAAAGTCCCTCCCAGACTGCTGACAACCCACTATTGCTAAGAAAGTCCCTGAGGCTCTGGAAAAACACCCGGCTCCATGTTTATTCCCCCCTGGTGACTCCAGATCAAATGTACTCCTTTTCTAAGCCAGAAAAAGATCCTTCTAACTGCTGGTGCCAGCACCAGCCAGCACACCAAGGCCCTGCAAATCCCACCGAGCCCTCTCCACGGCCCACACCAGTGCCGGCAAGGAAGATTTTGCAACTGGAAATGGGCGAGCCGTTGTGCTGGGGATGCACAAGCCAGAACAGAATCCAGCTTCAGGAGCTTTGTGTGAGCAGGGCTGACCAGAGTGACAAAGTTGCCTGTGTCAGTCCAGTGAGCAGGTACGAGTGGAAGGTGCAGAAGGGGCCATGTCTTTCCAAACATGCTAGCGCTTCCACCTGGGCTTTGCCCCCAGTTCACAACTTCCAGCCGGCCAGGGAGCGAGGGGTGAGATGAAAACACCCAAGGCACCAAATTCCATTCTGGATGTACACAGACTCTAAGCCCATGGCTCCCATTCATCAGCCTTCACTGCTTTCTCCTGCCTTCCTCTGCCCTGCACTTGTTTAACCAAGGGACGCCCTGGGGATTCTAGCTTGTTAAATCGCCATAAGAACCTTTCACCGAAAAGCCGCTCTGCTGATGTGAGCTGCTCTCTCTCGCAACCCCCCATTTCATTAAAGCAATTGTTCAAGAACTCTATTAATCTCAGTCTCATCTTATTTACGGGCTCTCTCTCCTATGTTGCGGACACGTCTGTCTCCCAAACAGTTGCCCATGGTGATGGATAGATACAAGACCGGCTGCTTCCAAGCATAAGTTTCCATGTGACAACCTGAGTTTCATCATTAATTTCGGGGGAAATGTACCTCAGTCCAAATTCTGGGGATACTGCTCTAAGTGATTTTACTTTGGCTCGACGAATGCTTTGGGAAAATGGGATCAGCTCTCCCATAGAAGTCATGAGGCTTGGGAGATCCATTTTTAGCGAAAACCATCCAGGGAAGGAAATAGCCCTATAATTTATGCTGGAAGAATTTATAGCATGCCCCCTGATATTTGGAATTGTCCAAATTGGACACTTACATTCTGGTCCTTCACCAGCTTGATTTCATATTTTGGGGGAGTTACGCAAATCAGCTATTCTGCATGGTAATATACACCTCTACCCTGATATAACACTGTCCTCGGGAGCCAAAAAAATCTTACCGTGTCATAGGTGAAACCACGTTATAGCGAACTTGCTTTGATCCACCGGAGCGCGCAGACTCCCCTCCCAGCGCTGCTTTACCACGTTATATCTGAATTCGTGTTATATCGGGCCGCGTTATATCGGGGTAGAGGTGTATTACTGTCACATGAGTTCCTGCTTGCTACAGTCTGCTGGTGTGACTCCATGACACAGAATACACGGCCTATAACTTTATTTTAATACAGTCTTTCCTACTTCCGGATGCTCTTTGGCTTTAACAACCGTTACAGAATTCAGCATGAGGCTATGGATATTTTATGGCCCAGTTTGTAATCTCCATCAGCACCAATGAAGTCTTTATTGGTTTATGCTGGTGTAACTGGGAGCAGAATCTGGCTCGTTTCCTGTATCTCGAGAGACAACAAGATGCGAGTGCTATCCTCCTATGGGTGCAATGCACAGATACTCATCAGAAACGGAGATGTACATCTTGACCATAAAAACTGTCTCTTCATAACATGAATAATGCTCCGGATTTAATATAATCATGACGGGAGTCATTCCTGCCATTAACAGCATGGAAAATGCATTACCCTGTATGCATGCAGACTGACAGTCCCAGCTCACTACCCCAGGGATAAACTGGTCTGAAAACGAAATTAACACCCATATTATTCTATCAGTTACACCTGAGTTTCACCACCGATTCGGCCTTAAAATCGGCTATGTTTTTAAATGAACCACCAGTGAAGCAGAGAATCACGCAAACCATCCATCTAGAAATGACTACCTGGTTATTAATTATTATTATTATTTTTACAGGCAGAAGGGGGTGGAGGGGAAGGAAGAAAAGACCTTGGCTCATACATCCAGCATGCGATTGCTGCTGGTTACCCCGGCCCCTGTTTACCTCCATTTCTTCCCACCTTCTGGAGGCTCTTGCAAAAATCATGGTTCATTCCACCCCAGGGTAAAAATCACCCTAATGTCAGCACACAGGCAGGGTGTGTGTGCGCGCTGATCTAATCTGAAAATTAAATCCTCGCTCCTCAATCCGGTCTCCCTCTGGTGCATTTCTCCCGCACATGAAACGTGCCCATTTCCCACCCCCGCCGCCAAGACATTTTAAACCAGCTCCGGATCGGGGCGCCCCTTACCTGCTCGAGGGGGCGGGGGAGTGCAGAGCGGGCCCCCCCCCCCGAATTCTCCCCGGGGAGCCGGGCTCGCGAGGCCAATGCCCGGGACGCTGCTCAATCCATACCTGGCCCCGGCTCCCCCAGAGAGGGCAGCAGCCGCCGGAGCCGAGAGAGGGTGGGACGGGGACCCGCCAGCGAGGGGACCGCTGGCCAGCGCGGTCCCCAGCCTTTGTCGGTCGGCGGGCGATGGAAGCCAGGCAGCATCCGAGGGGCTGCGGGGCCGGGCACACACCCACCCCCGGGAGGAGGAGGAGAGGAGGAGGAGGAGGAGGAGGAGGCGGGTGATTAATTCAGCAGCGCCCAGCGCGCTGCAGAGAAGCCTCCATTTCCAAGCCAGCAGCAGCCGCGGCAGCGTCGGGGCCGGGGAGACCCGGGGCCGGGGCAGCAGGAGCTCCGCGGTTGCCCCCGCATCCCAGCGGCCCCTCCGCGGGACCGGGCAGCCGGAGCCGGCCTCTCTGCCGCGTGTGCGGCTCTCCCCCGCCCCGCGGCCGGCCTCTGCCGTGCTCTGCCCCCGCCTGCTGCAGCGCGGTGTGTCCCCCCCCCCGGATCATCCTCCTCCCCCCTGCAGGGCCGCCCTCCCTGCCTCCCTCCGCCTTGAGATCCACGCTAGGGAGCGTCGGCAAACTCGCCAGGCCATGCTCGGGGAAGGTGAAATCCCGCCCCCCCTTTGCGAGGTCCCTGGCGGGGCGGGCTGGGTGCAGGGCGGGATCCCCTGCAGCTCGGAACAGCCCCTGCCCGGTTCTTTTGTACTCGGCTCAGCTGCCAGACGTCCTGCTTTAAATGTCTTGTTGCTCATTTATTTGCCGTGCGTCCCACTCGCTTGCCCAGGTGCCTGATGAAGCGACGCCTGGCCTCAGTGAAAGGCTGGGCGGTTAGGTCACAAGGGCGGTGTCAATAATGCAACTCCTCGCCTCTCCCAGCTCCGGGAACCGCTGCCCGGGGAAGGAAGGTGCCAGGGAAGAGTTAAGTGGCATTGTTGCACTGCAAAGGATAAGGTGTGTGCGGGGGCCCTCTGTTGGATGGAGGGTGGGAATGTGTGTCATAGGGCCCATATTGCTCGACCTTACTGGAGATTCTCCGGTGTATAGGAAATTATGGTGGTCATCTGCTGCAAGTCACACCGTAGCCAGGGCTCAGATCCTCCTGTACACAAGCACAGGAACCCTGGGACTTGAGCTAAGGAGAATCTTCCTTACTCTTAATCGTGTAGAGGCCTATGGGACACGGTTCTGGTTCCCTCCAGTAGACGGCAGCGAGACAAACACAGGTCACTACAGTGATACTATTTAACGCTTATATTGCCCTTCCCTCTCCCAAGCACTTCACAGACATTCATTTATTTTTGGTGCTTTTGATCCACAAAAGGGTTTTGCCACCACGAGGTCATTCACCCTCACCCACCCTGCAAAAGGCGATCAGCGTTATACACTCCTTTGGGCAAGTACCAGGTCTTTTCTATTTCAGTGTAAAGCATGGAGTACACCTACGATACAGTATAAATACATAATGAGGACAACAATGGTCATTTATAATTTCCACAGTGCACAGGAGACCTGGGACCTCATCCTGATTCTGCCACTGTGACCTTGGGCAAGTCACTTCTTCTCTCTCTGCTTTGGTGTCCCCGTCCCGCCTATGTCTATTCAGACTGTCAACTCTGTGGGACTAGGTCTGTCTCTGACCATGTCAGTCCAGCACCGGGCGTCCTGATCTCAGCTAGGGCTCCCAGATGCTGCTGTAATGCAAACAATCAACACCACAAACCCACAGGGGGAGCGTGGCTTGAGCAGCCTGCATAGGGTGATCACAATTCCATAGGGAATTGAGGCCACAGACAGCTGCTCCACTCCCACCGGGGGGCGTCCTACATCAAGTCTGCTCTTTATTTTCAGAGGCCTCTTCTCGAGCAGAAGCTCACTTGGGATGTAATTGACATGGGGGTTTATATAGCGGGGGGACCGTCAACCCCTTTACACAAGCCGTGCCTGCCATCTAAGTGGCGTGTAACTTCCCCACCGGGGCCATCTGCTTTTCTCTGGCTCTGCATCTCCCAGGTCTGCCGCCTCCATCGTTAAACCGCTTGCTCCTCTTGATGGCCTCAAGACCTTTGGGAGGCTCTTCTCTTTTCCTGGGATTTAGCCAATAAGCAAACCCCGGTCTGTTCCCCATGTGCCTGGCAGCCAGACAACCGGGGGCTGCTCCCGATGCATGAAGATCTTCAGAAAGAAATGACAAAAAAGCCCATTTGAATGGGGGAAACCCCCCCCCCACCTCTCTTTCTCTTTCCCTTTGCAAGAGCGTCAGACCAAATCACTGCCCAGCCTCAGGGTTCCCAACAGAAGCAGTGGCCAAGCTCCCATTGGCTTCAACATCTTCCCGCGGCCCTGACTGATGGCTTCATGCAGTACATCGCCGCCTTGTGGATAGCTTTTGCAGTGAGGCCAAAGACAGAACCAGCAGCCAGCCCTGGAGAGAGAACTGCACAGAACCCCCCTGCGGGTCAAGGTGGTGGCAGGGTGCACTGTGGGAAGCTTGCACAGCCAGGGCATCATAAGGTTGCACAGCCAGGGCATCTGCATCCTAAGGTGCAAAGCAGGGGTGGTGGTGGTGGGGGGTCTACGTGGGCCCTGGCCCAACCACTTTTTGGGCAGGCCAAACCTGTGTGGTCCTGTGAACCCACACACTGGGGTGTGTGTGTGTGTGTGTGGCCTCTCTGCCTCCCCTTTGCCCCAACTTTAAATAGCATCCAGCAGCCCCTGCTGCCAACACATCCGCAAAGGCGCATGGTCCTGGAGTCCCGTCCAAAGGATGCCCGGCCAGTCTTGTTCCCCCTTAAATCAAAGCACAATCTCAGTCCCACCCACAGCAGCACAAACCACTAGTGGCCCAGCTATGTCCGACTCTGCAATCGGGGTCTACAGTCTTTCTACTCCAGTGACAGATTTCTTCCCTCCTGATCCCCGGAGGGATGAAGCAGCATTGATCTCCTTGTTAGTCTGTCACCACCAGTTCGGGATGGTGCAACATGCCAGTAATGGGCATGTGTGAAGCACAGACACCTCTCCAAATCCCCTAAGGGACATCAGCCCCAATCCTATAGCCTTTGCTAAGGCATTAGAGTGCAGCCTGATGTAGGGCTAGGAGACAGGGCCTGTTATCATGAGCCCACCTCATGATGGTGGCCAAGCCAGTACTGTCTGCTGGGCCAGGATCCCAGGCAGGAGATGGGCACCAAGCCAGGCATCAGGAGCAAGGTGGGGCGACAGTCTAGCTCTGTAGCAGTAGCAAGCCAGAGCCTACACCGTCACTCAAACAATTCTCCAGGGCCAACGTCCTGGTTTAAATAATTGGTGTGGACCAATCAGGCAGCTGCAGGTGTCTGTCACTCTGGCCTTTTCAGGCGGTACTTCCTGCAGTGTCTAACCCTCCAGGAATCGGTGGGTGATGCTTTACCTAACTGCCCAGTGGTAATGAAGAGATGTCATTTTCCTAGGATCTCACCTCCCCCCTTGTTCTAGCCTTGCAGATGTTTACAGTTCTCTTCTCTGTGCCTACTTGAAAGCAGGGCAATAATTATCTTACATCTCTATAGTGCCTTCTATCACACAAGGCACTATCCCAAAATGCTTTGCTGTGGGGATGGATCAAGTTGTCCCAGTGCAGCCGCTTCTGGGGTGGTTATTCAGAGCCAGAAGCACTGCACAAGAAGTAGATTTTTTAGGAGGGTCTGTGAAGGAGAACTCCTCCATTTGAAACAGTAGGAGGGAGTTTTTAGTGAAACGGACAGCAATTTGGGAATTTGGCCATGACACCGAGTTTTATAGCCCTGGCCCCTCTAAAAAGTGCCAGGAGATATTTTAATGAAAACCAAGGCTCTGGTCAGTTGTGATTGTTAAAAGACCTCTGGTGAGTTTTGCAACATTTCCAGCCTGATAATGGCATTCCACCTGCAAAAAGTCCCACCCTGGTCTTAGTTTGGAGAACTTATAATTCACTACCCCTCTGTCACAGGGTGGCACTGGCCCTTTAGGAGGGAGCAAGGTCCAGTGTAAATGTGACTGATCAGTACCAATCAATTAGGTTTAACAGAGGGCACCTGGTCCACAGTTGGGAGGAAGACTTGGTAAATCAGAGTTGGCTAGCCCCCCTCAGGGAGATGTGCCAGAGGCTGGAGAGAGTTCCTAGGAGAAGGCTGGAGAAGGGTTTGCTGGCTGACCTCCAAGCTGGAGAGCCAAGGCTGAAGGTGGCAGAGCAGTGTGGCAGAGAGTGGTCTGCTGATGGCTAAGCTGGAGAGGGCTCAGCTGCTGACTTCTCCATGCTGGAGACCTGCTGCCAGAAGAACAGTGGGAGGGCCTGGGGAAGCGAGAGATGCTCCCCCGGTGAGGCTGATCCCCCAGCAGGGAGGCTGTGGGGGTTCCTGCTGGGAAGCGTAGGGTGGCACTCCAGCTGGAAGGGCTGGGGGGTGGCTGTCTTGCCAGGAGGGGACTGAGGAAGCGCCCAGAAGACACCAGAGCATGGTATGTGCCACGTTGACTGTCTAGCTAGCCCAGGACTTCAAGGACTACATGTGCTAGATGGGCTGTGGCTTGGAACTTCTGTTATGGACTATTTGGGCCATATTGCAATACATCAGCCCCAAGGACGGGTAGGGCTGAGACAAGAAAGCTTGAGTAGAGTAATTGGGGACTCTGAAGGAAGGAAACCGAGGCAGACATACTAGTCATGCTGCAGCCTGCTGCACGAGGGTACCTCAGGCAGGGTTGCCTTGCTACCAACGCCTCAAACTCAAAATTGTGCCACCGTTAAGTAGCTGCCGCATCCCACCCCAGAAGTGGGTGCATTTCAGCAGTGGGTGAGGCGTTCCCTGCATGGGCAATGACCCAGAGCCAAATTCTACCTTCAGTTACACCTGGCCAACCCCAATGACAAGAGCTATAGAAATAGAAGGGGCGACTGGCAATGATCATGATGTCACAATGCAGCATTGCAGCGTGAAGATTCTGGTCCATGGACAGACAAAGAGAGGAAGGCAGCATTCTTGGCACGGAGGGGGCAGCTAATGGGGGACAGAGGACTCTTGGATGGGAGAGGGGCATGCAATGCCCTGAGCCCCTGTGCGATACGGAGACACGTCACGTGCTGTACGACTGGTTGGTGGTTTTGCAGAGCTTTTCGGGTTTGGCATCAATAATGGATGTGTTTCCTGAGGGGTATTAATAAGGGCTCATGCATCATGCATGACAGACTTCGCAGGGAAAGAGGGATGATTGTTTACTGCTATGAAAGAGGCCGGCGGCCTGTATCCTGCCAGGGTGGTGGTGTTATTAACAGCGCAGCCATACCTGTCTCACCTGTGGCTGGGATCTTGTCACCTCACCTATGCTAAGCACTAATGGGCCCAATCAGCACCGGAATGGGAGACCGGGAAAGAAAGACACCTTGCAGGTGAGACATTAAAAC